TAGAACGGTCGACAAACCAACCGCTCACCGTCTAAACGTAACTCAAACCGTGGTGTATCGAAAAACTTCAAATGTTCGAACTAAATTCAAATTAGATTTAGCGTCATGTCAACACCAGGCTCAGATTCACGCTTGTTCTTGGCCTCACGCTAACACGCTCAAACGCTTGACGCTTTTCTTCTCAACAATATTCAACCAGATTGTCGACATCTTTCAGGGGGTCCTCTCGAATGCCTTATGGTTTGCTTTAAATTTTTGCCAAATTCATTCACTCTCCTTCGTGCACGCACCAGTAACCGGATCAACGAATTCCTTGGAATAATTTCACCGTGTCATGCGTACAGCATTTCGATTAATTTCTCAAATCACCATACGCTGGTTGAAAATGTGCTGTACTGATAGGTGCTTGATAAGAACACTCAACTTTGGAACGTCTTCGCTAATTCTTGCGTTCCTCTGTTGCGTTTACTGTTTACATTTCGCTATGTTCTTCGCCTCTGCCACTTTCACACTGAAAAAGCTGCCGCAGTTGTCTGACTGATAAAGTGAGTGATGAAAATGTAATTGTTAGTTGAAGCAGAGAAAACGACTGAGTGAGAGAGCGCTCGCTCGCTTCAACACTTCGAAAAATTATGACTGCTCGATGAGCTGCTGCCTGTCGACTGGATTGTAGCTGACAAGCTTTCATGAGGGCGAAACAAGAGTGATGTGGAGACAATCAGAAGAGAGTAAATTTTGGTACACTTAAACTTGTGACAACGACTCATTTTGGATTGGGATAAGCGACAATACAACCATGCAATGCTGAAATCAACCGCAAGCAACTTAGTCTTGTTAGCTCGAGTCAGACTCAGCAGCCATTTAGCTGAGGCTTACACTGACAGTCATACATAAGCTCAAGCTAAAGCCCAACGTTGAAGTGGGCTGAGTTGCTGCCAATGATTTGCCGTTGTGCTTTTCTTGAGACATTTTTGTGAGGCATACGCTTTCGTTTCACATTCTCAGCAATGTGCGTGTGTGTAAGAATGACGTAATTGACTGCATAAACAGTACACAAATGTTTTTATAAAAATAACACTGATGTTTTCTTATCAGCACAGATTATATCGATGTGTTTCGATGNATTCGATGCGGTTGATTTTACACGGGGTTCCGAGATTCTTACATCATTCGAGAGGGTTTGAAAACTCTACTCGAAAAACTCACTCTGAAATACTCGTTATTCAACGAATTCAAGTTTATTCTGCACGGCTCTCAACTTAAAATGTTTGATCCGTCTGCATGTAAACAGATTTGCGATTGTACTTAATTTCATGAGAATCGGCAGATTATTGTTGAAATCATCGTATTCTGTGTAAAGGGGAACTCGAATGGAGAAATGTGGGGGTGTCATTTCAGGTTTATATTGCCCGGTATGATTTTGCAAAGTAGTGTGTTCATATCCGGGTATATTGATAAAGACTTCATTGTTTCAGTGCACTGAAGCGTCAGAAGGCACTCATCGGTCGTTACAACTCAGACATAGGATTCATCCCCTCAACCCATCTGAATTTGCCGCTGATTCGTCCACTCTCGAAGGAACTTTGCTACTACTGTAGTTTCGGACCTAAAACGTGCGCAGCCACGCACGCACGCACGCGTGCCATCGCATCCGCACCGCACCGGCACGAGCTATTGCGAAATGCGACGCGCGCGAGCCGAAGACCATACGTAAGCCTTATTGTGGGATAGGCGTACCTAGTAGTACTATGTGCTGAGAAGTTGTGTAGCTTTCGCAGGTGCGGGCGAGAATATTGAATGTGAGCAGAGGCGGGTTGGAGAGGAGACGGTAGAGATGCAGAGAGTGCGGTGGATAGTATCACACAGACACCTAATCGTAAGCCTGAGCGCAGTGTAAACGAATGGTGGCTGAAATAGTAATATAGTTTTACAAAGTATTACCAGTGCAATTAGAGATGTTTCTTTGCGAAGTTTAACGTTTCGGCGTTATGCCTTCTTCAGGAACATGTTGGGTGATTCAACAACGTGAAGATGGCATAACACCGAAACGTTGAACTTCGTAAAGAACCATTTCTTATTGCGCTGGTAATACTTTGTCTATAAAACTATATTACTATTTGATCTACCTGTTACCACCATGCGCCTTATAAATGAGAAAAGTCTCCACGAATGGTGACTCTTTACGGAGCTTAAAAAAATTGATGCAAGGTGATCATAAGGGAAAATGAATCAGCATGGATGCATCAATCTGCTTTGTGTGCTCACATTCAAAGCTGATAGATCTCCATTCGAGTAATGTGCTTATTGTATCATGAACGCGGAGTAGGCTGTTCGAAAAATAAGTGCATGCGTGAAGCCAGCACGCATTGCACTATGTGTGTTGTTCAGCATTCGTTTCTCAGTGCTTCAGTGCATATCCATTCTCAATGCGTGCGTGTGCACATAGCTTCGAAACTAAACTAGTGCCAAAGATTTATTATATCACCCCTGTCAAGATCACAGAGCGAATGATTTCACAATTGCATTGCAATGAGTGTGTGAATATTGATTGATTTTGCATTATGTGCGGCGCGGCGCATTGATTATACGGTGTGCTCAGCCAGGGTAGAAATCTAGCAGAGTAGGCGGTCGATAAAGACCACCGTGAACGACGACACTATGCCGGGATGCGATAAACACGCAATCGAAACGCATCGCAGTCAGCAGCGTTTAACGAATGACAACCGATGAGGAGTTGTCGCTGATCAAAGACCAATCGCTTTGTGATGAACATCAATCTTTCGCCGCTGCGATCGTTCGATGTCTGCATCTCTCGTGCTATACTTTGGAGGATGTTCTAGTGTAGGCGGTTTCGAGTCACTGGAGTCGGTGATGTGTATATCGTAGAATTTTTAGTGCAACACTGTACGTGAACCGTACTTTTAGAGAACGGTACAACAGTAC